ACCGTGCCCTAGTTAGGGTAAAACCTCCGTAGTAGATTACGCTCCAGGTGGAACAAATGTACACCACGGTCAAGTAGACAAAGAGTATCCTTTTGGGCCGCTCCTCCGATATCGATTGGCGAGAAGAGCTGCAGCATTAAAATAGTCAGAATTACAACCGTGTAGATTTAGGGCCTGACTCGAGCGCACATCGCAAAAAATATACCCAAAATCACTAACCCTAGATGATTACCGTCTCAGATCTGGCGGTCAATAAGATAACTTCATCACATACCGTAGCCGGTGAACTGCACTATGCAGCTGATGGTACTGGAGAATAAGAACGAACCGTATGTTGTTATCAAGGCTGCATCGTCGGGAGTCATTTCGCCTATCAACCTGCAAATTTCCGAGCGCTATTGAGGCCGCATTCAACTCGATTCAACGCAGTATTTTTATATGCAAGACAATCGTCCTTCCTCCGCCAATTAAGATGGCTAGATTCCTCCTGGGACTTTCCAGTCCTATACTCAATCTGTTACTGAGAAGAGAGTTGATTAATGCTCACCAGACGCATATAATCTGTGAAATTTTCGATATACGGGTACAGTTCGGGTGCGTTTCGATAAGCTTGAGACCTTTTGTTTACTATTTATGGACACCTTGGCATCAGATAGAGGTTGGCGTAAAGAGTCCTAGCGTTCTTCTCCCGGAATTGAGTTGTCGTGAATATAGATGCGATTGTGCGGCAGGTGAAGTTTGTAGAAAATCCCGAGGACAATGATTTATGAATGCGCAAGTGCCCTGCGCGACTCCAGGAAGCAAGGGCATCTTTTTCATCTTATGGTAAACAGAAAACGCTCAAGTTGAGTTCAGACGATATACACAACCTGTGAACCGGGTCTGGGCATACGTTCAAATTGAAAATAATAATATGATCGTACCTCAGCTTTCTCTGTAGTACCTTCTTCATCATGATCTTAGTTATCGAATCAGTTCTATCATACCCAGGTTAATAGGACGGCCATCTGACCGAATTGGATGTGAGTGTTCAAGAAGCTTTCTTTCCCAGGCACACTACGCTTCACTTGAAGGCCAGGGTCTGGATCTTGCAGAACTTCCGTGCTTCCAAGTTAATCTTCCACGGTAGCGCCTGAACAGCTTGTAGCTGTTCTCGCTGTGGTGACGTGCCGGTAATCAACGACCTGCGATTTTGCCGAAGCCGCTCTCTCGTCTTACCTGGAACATAATTCATAGCTGATCGGCTTGTATGCGCGTTTCTTGACGAATTCTGCGAATAAAAGTTTAGTCACTGGTCCCCGCAGACTCGGCTCTCGCAAGTTGATGCGAGATTTCGAGACTGCCGTGAGACTGAGCAGCAGAGCATCAAACTGCAAGGCTGCCAGCACTGCAGTGGGCCGGCATCAATGAGAGTCAGTTCTGAGACTCTGCTGATTGCTTGAGCACACATGATCATGGTACCCAGCTAATGAAATTGGAACCGCGCCGACCTGAAGGTGTTCGAAGGATGGCACCTGATAAAACCTCCATTAAATTAAACCCCGTCTCTGCGTGGTGACTCATAACTGTAAGTACATCGATCAGCTAAAATCCGGTTTGTCTCCACTCGAAAGGTGACCTGTCACTTCGAGGCTGGGCGATTATTTTAGTGTTCCCTTGTCGAGAAGAAGATGAGGGTAAACATGGTGTTAAACGCAAAATTACCAATACTTGTTATAATTCCGAGACTCTGAATTAGTTTTGTTGTGACGATGATTATAGTAAGCTAATTTCCCATGGAGCGGTGCTATCAAAAAATAGTAATAGTGGTCTTTGTGAGATATTTTGTATGCCCCAGCCAGCTAAAACTCAGCGTGCAAAGGGCCTCAGCAATGTTCCGTAAGAATTGAAGTCAGATGTTAAGGCAATGTTGAAAGTGGACAACACTCAAGCAGTTGCCCGCAGAGGCGCATGATGGTGGTGAGAAGACCTGAAGATCAAAAGATCGCCGCTATTCACTTGTCAAGAAATAATCAGAACCCTTCAAAGAATGTCTAACGCTTGACTCAAACTGAGGTCTATTCGTGACTTGTTGACAGTGACATTTGTTGTCCGTTTTCTCCATCTGAGTCGTCGATCCTTGAATACTTCTTACGGTAGCATGTTTGAAGAATCAAGAAGCGTCATCCCGTTCTTCCTAAACCACTCATGTTTCGAATCTCGTTCTTCAAAATGGATCTAGTTAATAATGTGCCATTTCACTACGGGCAAATATCATGCCAATGGAGCAAAATATTAGACTGGTGGTTCCTTGTCGGTACTGTAGCTCCCGAGATTGCTCTCTGCCCACATAAATGACAGATGATCTTTTTGTCAGGATCAAGGAAAACAAAAAATGCGGCCAGGTCCTGCAAAACATAGACCAGAAATTAATAAACTTATCCAATTTGATTTATAAACCTTCCTCCAAGCAGCCAAGCTCAATAAACTGTACTCCCTTGTTTATAAGGGTATTCGGACTTCCCGCAGGTCCACAATGGACCATACTCCTCTCGAAAGTGAGTGACACTGATTGTATCGTTTGGACACACTTCAATGTTCATCAATACTATAGAACAACTGTGTCTTATGGTTTTGGTTGATTTTTCAAAATGTCAGCTCTATCGAGATGATTTCAGAGTTAGAGACCATGTAGAACTGCGAGCATCAACATTACGATTAGAATTTAGAGTGCAGTATAAAAGAAAATGCCTCTGCTTGAAGGTAAGCTAAATCAAGTGCCTTTCACTTAGCTCTTTATCCATTCATGACGCCAGAGGAACAACAGGTTATTTCCTCTTATGCCACTCTCATTTGCTCCAATGTTATATCTGCTGTGATAGTGGAAGTAACTGGCTTTGGTATGTATAGTTCAATAGCATGAACTTACTTCATTTAATATCGAAGGAGATAATGACGAGTTGCTTCTGCTAGGTGTAGCTGTTCCAGGAATGTTCATTGCTATTTACATGATAGTGTATGAAAGATTAAGCTTTGATTCTATAATCTTTAACTCACTGGTCCATTCGGATACGACATCTTGATAGAACTCAATCCTGGACCAAATCACGAATTGCTCTTTTTGCTTGTTTGATCCTCACAGCTATTGCCTTGGTCTGGAATACAGCTCTCACTACAGCTCTCCCAGTTATACAAGATCACGTTGTTTTTATTAGTATAGAACCAGAGGTACAGGAAGAGCTGGGGATTCAGGCCCAAATATCAAACAGACAAATTTTACCACTCAGTTATATGGAGAGTTGGGCCGTGACACTTTCTGTAAGTTTATTGAGCTGATCCCTTATAATGAGCTGATGCAACCACCAAGGGAGTCTTAAGTGATTGCATAGTAGTTTGGAGAGCCTGGGTTTTATTCCAGCAGGATAGGATTTGGAGGGTTGCACTTGGGCTTTTGATCACTGCGAATATTGGTGCGTAATTGATTCATCCAAGGACTTGTACACTGAGCTTGTTGCATAATGGCATACAGGAATCAATGTTGCGGATTGCATTTTGGATAACATTGAGATCAAGCTTATACAGCTAGGATTCAGCACAACTTTAGATTGGATATCACTTGTGTTGTCTCTTGCAGTCAACATATTTGCAACAAGCTTGATTTCTTGGAAAGCATGGCAAGTGTTCTTGATGTCTTGGCTGTGATTAATAAGTTATAATGCTGCGCAGGAGTTACCATCGCATCATGACAGAAGCTGCAGTCCACAGAAGAAGTAGGGCTCAGAATATCTTACTTCTTTTGATTGAATCAGGGGCCATATATTGCACGGTACAAGTTTTCTACACTGTCTTTACCCTGCTCAATATATATGGTCCTTCAAATGGCAACAGTGGGTTTGACCTGGGATTCTACATTATAAGTTCCACATTTGTTCTTGCTTCTGTAAGTGGGATGGGCTCTATTTGGGGGTTAACTAATAATGGTTGGTAGGCATGGTATCCCATTGCCGTGACCATTTTGGTCAGAATGAACAACTCTTCTGTAATTGAGAGTTTCCATCTCAATCAGACTATGGAAAGCACTACAGTAAAGGAACACCATGATTCAAGTATGGGTACCTACCCAAACTCTAGAAGGACTGCCTTGGAATTGCTTTGGAATGAATGATTAAAGAGTTAAATCTCAACTTAAAGGTAAAATCTGAATGCGAAATATCGTTTTATTTACAAACTTTGTATGACATAAACGTTGCGCTGCCACTCTTTCCAAATTTCCCTAATACTTGGTAGTTATTGGACCATTTATTAACTTTATGTAATCGTCGAAGTTGCACCCCTAGTATTACTGACCACTCGTTATACTTACCCAGTTACCCTGCTATCTCTTGTTGCTATATTTTGTGCATCTGCTTTCTGGCCAGATATGATTCATGAACTACATCGTGACCCATTTTTTCCCTTGGAGTGTTGGATTATGATTTTATCAAGTGTCAGTTGCTCGCCGTGCAGCTCAGTTTCAAATGGGATTTACTATACTTATACCCACACACTGTCGTTTCATCTCCCATCTGTTTGTCTCCCTCCTACTCCCACAATGTTTTAGAGTGGTTTCCGAGTCTACGGAGTAGAATTGTTGCTTTGTTCACATGGTGACAGTGGTAGGACCAGCCGTTGTGACTTAAATTTCTAATCCGCTACTATCCTTGGTCCTTCCGATCCCCAGCGTGCCTACCGTTTTCATGAAAGTGGTCGCGGCATGTTGTTTGTCTATGCATTCTTCCCTTTAATACGGTGTTGGCGTATGACATAAAACTTCCTCCCTGTCGTTGCGGCGGGTTCATTCGCCCAGTAGTAAATTTCAAGGCCTGAGTATGAGCGTGATGCATGAACCAAGTGCGCAATGCTCAGTCAACTGAACTTGCTCTCGGTTGTACCTGCAACCTTGATCTATCTTATCTGATGCCACAGAAAAAAAAAATTCAACGAGGAAGGATAGATTAAAGAAAGACAAAAATAAACTTCACTGCATTAAGGGGGAATCGAACCCCCGGTGGGTCGAAACAAACCAGCTTAAAGAATGGCAACGACCCAGGTTACCACTACCCCATTAATGCACAATAGACATGTGCGCGGACAATATCACTGTAGAGTACAACTTCTATGTATTTAACTGACACTCCCAAATCAATAAACTGGCGATATATGTTGCCGCCCCACGATATATAATACTCATCGAACGGTAGACAGATTTACCGCGGCTGTCGATCTTGAAGGTATGTTAAAATCTGAATGGCCTCCGCTCAATGACTCGGAGCTGTATATAGCCCGTTCTGCCTCTATACTGGCATGCGTACACTTACCGCTCTTAGGTGCGGGTCTGTTCCGGTCACTCGTTGTATCTATTCAATTTTCATCGAGGTGGAGACGAGGGTAAGGATGGTATTGAATTTATGAATGCAGCACCGTCAAATTTCCTTGCTAAGTCTTATCCTCGGCATCATCGAGATCATGATGAACTAATGTTCTGTACACATGGAGCATGGAGCGATGGTATCGAAGAACGCCGATGCGATAAGTTTTGTTGTATGTATGCCCGAGACGGCACGCATAGTACATACGAGACAATATGCGGATAAGCCCAAGTTAAGATGTTGAGGCAATGTCGAAAAGCCTTGCGGGATATTCATTAGTGACCAGTAATTAGCCAATTATCCGCAATGGCACTGTGATAGTTGTCCGTGGACCTGGAAGATCGCTGCTGCAAACTCGTCAGCGGATAATCAAAATCATTCAAGCAGACAGACTTCACTCTAAACCGAGGTCTAATCGTAGCTCATTGATAGACAGCCTGAGAGCAGTTAAATGGTAGACCGGTCCACATCGGGGATCCGGGGATCTATTGTCCGGCTTTCCAAATTGAGCCGTGGATACTTCTTCCGGTAGCCGGCCGGCCGTGGAGAGCCAATAGCGTCATTCCGTCCCCCTTGTTCAATTTACAACCCTATCTACTACTCTCATGTCGTCAAGCTCGTCCCCGTCGTCAACGTCGGCGTCGACGACCTCCTCGACGGCTGCAGCGACCAGCTCTGCAGCGTCAGGTTCTATCTCCACTGGTTCAAATCTCAAGGTGCTTTCAAATTTCGTGGCTCCAAAGCGTCATATTAACTGGAGGAATTAGATCGTCGGAATCCTGCTCGCAATAGCTAGTGGTTTACTAATTGGTTCAAGTTTTGTGTTCAAGAAGAAGGGTTTATTGCGGTCACAAGCCGGAAAAGTAGCTGGTGAAGGTGTCGCGTATCTGAAATCGGTTTGTCGTACCATATCACTTGCGAGGAATTTCGACAAATTTTTTTATCGTATTTTCAGCCGTTATGGTGGACAGGAATGACCAGTATGTTCCTCATTGTCAATGGGATGGTGTACAAGGCTCTAACTGGGTTCCGCTAGTGATGATAATGGGTGAACTATGTAATTTTGCTGGTACGTCCTCATATTGCGCCTGGCGCTCTACCAATGCTCACAGTAACCTTTTATTCAGCCTATGCATTTGTAGAAGCTATTGTCGTTGTGCGTAGCTCAATTTGGGTGAAGAACGAATCAGATTGACTGATGAATTATGCACCTTTGTACTCGTACATTCAGACTCCTCTGGGCGCATTATCCGTTGTGATTTGCGCTATTCTCTCCTCAATATTTCTGCAGGAAAAACTCACATTCTTCGGCTGGCTGGGGTGTGGGCTATGTATCGTGCGTACCTTTACAATTCATACACGATGTCAGACTGAGTGTGCCTCATGTTTAGGTTGGATCTGTAATCATAGCGTTAAACGGTACGTCCGACACCGCGTACGCCGTTGTTTGTCGTTTGATAACAATTCTCTCTTCCAGGCCCATCTGAAGCTTCCGTCGGGCAAATCAAAGAATTTGAAAAACTATTTATCGCACCGGGATTTCTGGCGTACGCATCCGTGCTTATCGCCGTCTCCCTCGCCATCATCTTTTACTTTGCTCCGCGTTATGGCACGAAGAGCATGCTGTGGTACATTTTCGTCTGCAGTATGATTGGTGGAATTAGTGTCAGTGTCACGACTGGGTTGGGCTCGGCGATCGTGACCACCGCACAGGGAGATAACCAGGTATGTTCAAGGTCTGAATCGGCTGAAGCACAGGATACTGAAGGCTATTTTCAGTTCAAATTTTGGTTCATTTACTTTCTAATGGGATTCGTGGCCATCACGTTGAGTACGTGTGCGGATTGTTAGTTTTCCGAATGTGCGTTGATGGGCGGCCTTAATCAGTTACCGAGGTCTACTATTTGAACGTGGCGCTGGCATTATTCAACACGGCCATGGGTGCGTAATGTTTATTGGCAGAATAGGAATAGTCGCTGATGCATTGTGCATTTAGTTACGCCGACATACTATGTTATATGTTTGTCGTTACTCACTCAGTTCTCATTTATGATTTTTCTGAACATGTTTCTTTACAGTCACATTTTTCTCCATCTTAACGACCATCGTAAGTCCGTTGTTGAATCTTATCTCTTCTTGGTACTTATCTCTTGCCTCCAAGGTACTCTTCCAAGGTCTCAAGGCTTCCGCGTCATCTATCATCACCCTTGTCATGGGTTTCGTCGTCATCTGTTTCGGTATAACCATCCTGCAAATGTCTAAAGTCGATCCGAAGAATTTCACCAAACTCGATCGACGCTCTACGATCCTGCTTCAGGCCTCTCGCGAACATACGGAAGGATTTGATGAGAAGGATGTTTTGGCGGTCGAGGATCCTGGTATTGATACTCTGAGAGGCTCATTTGGTACGGTCGGTAGTATCATTCGGGCGAGGAGCGCGAGGAGAATGAGCCAGAATCGAGGTGGAAGCCGACCTGGATCATATAGCACTAGGCCGCCGGGTGCCATGGCACCATACGATCCTCCTCCTCGAGGTACTTGGTTGTCTCCGAGAAACAGCACCAATACCGAATATTACGGCGGCTTGAAGCGGCACCAGCTGTACGATGCTCCGGTTCCTATGGGCTCACCCTCATTCACAGCTGCTTCGCGCGGAGACGACGTATCGTCACTGCATAGTGCAGGCAGGGATTCGCAGATGATGAACAAGCGACCAACGATCAAGTTTGACACGCAGGATGTCGTCCATCAATATCATCCCACGGGAACGGGAGGTGCGAGGGTTGATGCTGACGCAATACACGAACATCGAGCAACGACAGCGTCTCCCGGCATTCCTGGGCTACCCACTCCCAGTCACGCAGAATCGTTCCCTTCATTATCAATGACCCAGACTGCGGCTGCAGCAACGGGTGCAGGCGCCCCTCAACAAAGCTCACAAGATCTCCTATCCGACAGTCCGACAGATACGGAACCTGCGCTCTCGCAAATCCTTGCCCTACCGCCTCTCCCTCCTCGCTCCCCGGGACAGGAAAACCTCCCGTACAGCGCGCCTCCGACGATGATCCCGCGGGCCAAACCGGGCCGGAAGGATTCGAGAGAGATTTTTAATGTGGATGGTGCGAGTCCTAGTTCGGCGACGTTGAAGTCGTTCCCTAGTGTGACGGACTCGGCGAGGAGTTGGGATGCTGATATGGACTCGGGTGCAGGTGCTGGCGCGGGTGGGGAGGGTGATTCTTCGAGAGGGAGGTCAGCGAGGAGGTATCCCAAGGGGGATAAAGATGCAGATCGGGAGGAGAGTGTGAGTCTGTGGCAGAAGGAGGAGGGCGAAGGAGAGGATGATGCTAGTCGGCATGGAGGGATACGGTTGGTGACGCCGTATAAAGGGGGGAGTAGTCGATTCTAATGATGTTTTACGATCATGATTTGGACGAGGGTGTGTGTTGGTAATTAAAGTGTAACGAGATACTGTGCATCATTTACTTATCCCGGGACTTGTTCTATTTGTTTTCGCTTTTTAGTCTGTTCTTTATTCTCAGTGTTGTTCAGTATCTACTTGAGCTTTCTTATCTGTGGTTCTTATTCCTGATTACGACCATATCGTATACGATATTGCTGTATTCTTCGATATACTAAGAGGAAATTAGCATATCTATCTGCCGACTGACATCCATATATATACCTCCAGAAGTGGAGTATAATCTAGGTTGGTGTTCATCATTTTTGTATACTGTAGTACTTAGTGAAGTTATGACAGAGAAATTGTCCCTATATGAATTCAGTAATGAAATAAATTTGTGAACTTTGGGAGTATTCTGCAGTGAAGTGGAATGTTACAGTGTAGTTCTGTGGTTCAAGTGCCTACTGTGACAATGTAATTGCAATATGTATGAAAAGGTTACAAATTCTGCTTAGTAGCAAGGCTGCCAAGTAAATGATATTTCATCCTGGGCATTGTATGAGAACCTACAGTTGAAATGCAGCAGGGTCCAACCAAGGCATAGGGGGGGGGATTTTTTTTTAAAAAAAATGTGCATTCTACTGTAGAACCTACAGTATGCTTGAGGTACAAGTCTGAGTTGTTAAAACTCAGCTGCCTACTGAAGTTTCCAGCTGGGCAGTCCCCTTAAGAAGAGGTCCAGGTGAGAGCTAAGGACAAAGATAATATACAATCAACATAATTATAATAAGTCCTAAAGTGTATACGATTACTGTGGCATTTTCAGCACTTCGTAAGGGGTGGGACAGTGGGACAAATCATACGAAATTTATTTTTCGTAAGCGCCTGTTGGATGCTGGGACATCAAGGAAATTATGAAATTAACTACTATAAAAGGCTAAGTGCCCACAGGCACCTGGGAAAAATTTCATAAAAGCTTGATTGGACACTGGACAGGGTGGGACATTTCATTTTGTAAGATGCCTTGCGGACACAGGACATATGAAGTGCTTAAAATGGGACAGTACTTGCTTTAACAAGTTGTGACAGCTGTCAAACAATTTCGGCTCTGATACCAGATCCATGTATGTTAAAAGCTAACCCTCAAGCCATCACATTGCCAAATTTCAGTAACTTAAAGGCCATTGTTGTGGTGTCTAGGCTATTTATTAAACTACAGTGGATGCAGAAAATAATGTCACTCCATATTGTTAGGAACCACCCCAATTTCACGCCATTCTCATTCCCCTTTGATTCTTTTCCT